CCGCCCCTATTTTTGAACAGAGAGTCCCCTGGGGGACCTCAGTACAATTAGATATATGTGCGAAAAATAGGGAGACTGTTGCCACTCGGGCGCCACTCTGCCTCCTCCTTACCGCTTTTGACACTTCGCCACCTTGCCACTTAAAATGTCAAAATCCACTTCAATGCCACCTTAGCAAGGGGGCAACCAAGTGACACTTAATTGCACTTTGCCACTTACTTTTTTTCCCAGGGTATAAGTTATAACTCAATAACTTGAGCTAACTTGGCTGGAATCGCTGGAACAGGCTGGTTCTGACCCTACCAATCCTATTTGGCGCTCTGAAGTACTTATCGAGTTCTTTAACTGTGAAGATGTGATTCCAACCTAAAACCAACTTCTGAAAATGACGCTTACGAACAGTCCGCACGGTGTTTGTTCGGGCCGTGGTGTCCAAACATCTTCTTTTTCGTCGGGGGCACTGTGTCATTCGGTTTCACATTATATTCAGCGCCGTTGCTGAGATTTCACTTTTCTCAAGATGCCCTCTGCTTGCCCAATTGCTTGCGGCGGCACCAAAAGTGGCAACTCTATACTCGCAACGTTCCTAGAGGACTGGTTCGAGGCTACGTGCTGTTGGGGCACTCGGGAGTTCCGGGAAGTCCGTCCCACCGCCGCCGTCTCGTAGTCGTAGGTCTCTTCTGCTGCCGGCTGTAGTATGCTGACTGTCCCACTCGAATGATTTTCCCTTGTACCGCACTATGATGTCTGGTCCCACTCGAATGATTTTCCCTTCTACTGCCGTACTACTCGAATGATTTTCCCTTCTACTGCCGTACTACTCGAATGATTTTCTCTTCTACTGCTGTACTATGCTGCCTGTCCCACTCGAATGATATTCTCTTCTATTGCCGTACTATGCTGTCTGTCCTAAATAAATTTATCGTTTGTTTTAACCTCCCTTCTACTGCCGTACTATGCTGCATGTCCCACTCGAATAATATTCCCTTCTTTTGCCGTACAATGCTGTCTGTCCTAAATAAATTTATCGTTTGTTTCAGCCTGTCACATGTTTTTTTTTTGCGTCAAAATGTATTTGTAGTTCAAAATTTAAATAATATCTAGTTATTTGCCTTCAGGCCAGAAGATACAGTATTGTTGACTGTCCTCTCCCTTCTGACGAGATAAAGGTAGCGGTTGTACCCCACAAGTGGATATTGGATGGGGAGGTCTTGTGCCCTGAAGACCGCAGTAAGAAGCTGCTGCTTCTAAGGACTATGCCGACCCAGAGGATTCCTAAGTATTGAAATCATGCACAATACGCAAAACGTACGGTGAGTGTACAACTGCCCCCTCTACCATGCGTATGGCATTTATTTATTGATATATTTTTTTCAGGTTCTTATGAGGCTGTTAGAACAATGCTACCATTTGCATATGACACTGATGGGCTACTGTCGGAGAAAGAACTAGGAAGAGGATCTAGAAAAAAGAAGACGACTACTCCATTTTCATTTGATGAAGATAGTGACGGTAAAAATAATCAAGGGAAGAGCAAGAAGTTTAGAAAATCAGAAGTACATCAGTCACGTAAGAAGACATAAACCTCTTCCAGCACATCCTCAATCAACTGGTCAATCAAGAGGTGGGAATTTAGTACAATCAAGCAGTAAGAAAAGGGGTAGTCTTCCTCCACCTTGTCAATATAAAGGTATTGTTTTTTCTAATTTCTGATATACTGCTTTTTAGCCCGCCCTTCTGCTTTGAAAAAGCTATCCAGCGGGCTTATGCAAACGACCTCGTGTCTGTCTGTCTGTTCCACTAGAAGGAGATGTGCTAGAGACTTCAAATTTTCAGGGTATCTTAAGGTTCACTCCTAGAAAACGAAACGCCTACGGCAAATCCTGGCAACCACCCCTAAAGGACGAAAAGGGGGTATCAAAGAAAATGGGGTAGGTCAAAAAGTCAGAAAAAAATATTTTTTTTAATTATCTACTAAGGGGTAACTCGTCGAAGTAGAGCCCTTTGGGCGAAAATTTCGTCCGTTTGGCTCAAACTCTAACCGTTTAGGCGCTGGAGGGTCTTTTTTGACAAAAATAAGCTTAAAATTGCATTAGTGAGCAATAAGTTGTAGAAGAAGGCCCAAAACCGCAAAAGAGGAAAGAAACCTCCCCCCCCCCCCGACAAGCTGGGCCCGCTCTTCCGCCAAACCAAGTTGCCAGCTCCGCTTCGCTCCACCGGCAACTCGGTTCGACAGGGAGCGGGCCCAGCTTGGCCTGCCGGCGGCGTTTGGGTTCCAAACATACTCTGATTGACTCCGAACGTGTTCGAACAACAAATAAATGTTTTTGTGGTGTTTTTTATTTTATTGTTTTATTTTGCTTTTTTGCATGGAAGTGTGCACGTTTTATTAATGATGTCCCACCATAAACTAAGCCCACTCTTCTGCTTAGAAGAAAATTTTGAACCGACGGCATACTTCTCAGACAGAAGTGTACTTCTGGAAAAGTAAAAATATTTCTGTTTTGGCCAGTTTGGTAAGAAAAACTCCCTTTTGTAAGTAAACAGGACAAAACTTTAGCCCAAGAGGCTCTACTTTCACAAGTTACCCCTTAGGAGACCATCAAATGTTTTCTAAAATTAATATATTTATTTTTAAGCCACTTTCGTGGGTAAAACTCCCTCTAGCACGTAAACGGTGAGAGATAGAGCCAAACGGACAAATTTTTCGCCCAACGGGCTCTACTTTCACGAGTTACCCCTTAGGAGACAATAAAAAACAAAAAAATTCCACTTCTTGGACCAACCCATATTTCTTTGTTACCCCCTCACACCCACTCAGGGGTGGTTGCCAGGATTTGCACCAAACCGTTTCGTTGACCAAAAGTGACAACAATAATACCCTGAAAATTTCAGACCTCTAGCTCACGTCCTTCTAGGGGAACGGACAGACAGACACAGAGGGGATGGCATAAGCCCGCTTATTGGCTGAGCGATTAGCGAAGCCTATTACTCCAGTGATGATCAAAAAGTTTCGCGTCTGTCTGTCTGTTTGTTTGTGTGTGTGTGTGTTTGTCTGTCATCACGATAACACGAGAACGAATTGAGCTAGCGACCTGGGATTTTAAGGGTCGTTTTGTGTCATAAAAAGACAGATCAAGTTCAAAGAAGGTCATTCTAGCTCAAAAATTGAATTTAAAAAAACTCAAAAACCACAGGTCCCACTAATAATGTTTTTAAAAATATTTCTTTACAGTTTCCTCAGAGATACCTCATAAAAATAGAGCCCCTTGGACGAAAATTTCTTCCGTTTGGCTCTATCTTTAACCATTTAGGCGGCACAAGGAGTTTTTGACGAAAATAAGCGAAAAAATGAACAACGCTGCATTCTTAGTCGAAGCGACGGGAAGTTGACGGGCCGAAGGCATCTTTGTGTACATTTTTGCGCTTCCCGACTCGGGTGTCAGCGCCGCAGGCCTAGGTAGATGTATGCTAGGCGCGTCGCAGCGTAACAGTGTTTCGTGAGATATCGCGAAGCCTGTTACGCGAGACGTGGTCTGGCGTATATCTACCTAGTATAGCTTTTAAGCAAAAGAGCGGGCTAAAAACGTCTTCAAAGCAGACGGGTGGGTTGTGGGTTGTAGTCGCGGTGCTTTACCTCGCCGCCATCGTGAAGATGGTTAATGAGATCAAAGCCCACCACTTGCAAACGAGACTTTTCAAGATTTTGTGTGAAGAGGTGGGCGCGGCGTATACGTCTCTGCTTTTCTACTCGAAGGCAAGATGGCTTTCAAGAGGGAAAGTTACTCGCCACCTCATCACCCTTCGATCTGAAGTGCGTGAATTTCTGTACGCCAAACAATCGCCGCTGGCTACTTACTGGGATGACCCTAAATTTGTACAGCAGGTTGCATATTTAGCGGACATCCTCGAGAAATTAAATGAACTGAATGTGTCGATGCAGGGAAGAAATGACAATGTGCTAACTCTGAGTGACAAGATAAATGGATTCCAAGGAAAGCTTAACATTTGGAGAAGAAAGGCATTACATGACACGTTTGACATGTTTCCGACTCTCCATGGCCTGCTCGAAGAGGACGATTTACTTATCAAAAGCCAAATTACGGAGCATCTTGACGGCCTCTCCGGAAAATTTGAAGAGTGGTTCGGGGACCTACCCGGGGAAGAGCTGGACTGGGTCAGGAACCCGATCAGAGTCGAAGAGTGGGACATGCCGCTGAAACACCTCGAGGAGCTGAGTGACCTGCAGGCTGATCGGTCAACTATGCAGCACTTTGAAACAACTCCCCTCGACACATTCTGGCTCTCCCTCTCGGCGGATTATCCATGCATCTCCGACCGAGCAGTTCGAGTGCTACTCCCATTCGCCGCAACATACTTGGCTGAATCTACATTTTCTGACCTCACGTACATCAAAAACAAATACAGAACGAAACTTGATGTG